CTCACCTCAGCCTCCCAAAGGCGCGGGATTATAGGCTGAGCCACCGAGCCCGGCTCACAATTCTTATAAATAAATTTGGTGATAATTTAATGTCTACAAAGAGTGACTTTCTCAAATTTAATATTGGTCTAACTATATCTGCTCTAATCATTTCTCACTGGTTATTTCAGAGATCAAATGCGATATTATATATGAAACCACCATGAAAACTACTGATTTCTTTAAGCATGAAGTATCATCTTTTTCTCTTTATTGTCTGTGTAGATTTAACTCTTAATTACTTGTATATCTTTATTTACTACAATGCTCTACATCAGGAGACACACTGCTTTTGCTACTCCCATTTGCAGCACACGCCTTAGGGGGTCCCTTAATACAGACTGTACAACAGCAAAAGGGAGAGTCAAATTTTATCCCTCCCAAATTTTCTTTCTTCCCATTTTATTTTTTCTTCATGTCCTTCCTTCACTTTTATTTGAGTGAGTTCATTTAATATTCATTAAGTCATTACATGCCACCTTTTCTCCTCTTTGTTTAAGCTTAGTTATAAAATAGTACCAGTATTCATTGATTCTAGTCTTGTCATTTACTAAATGTGACCTTGGGCAAATTAAGCTCTATGTGCTCACTTTTTTTGGTTTAATCTGCACAACAGGCACAGTCAACCTACCTCAGGGGACTGATGCAAGAATCAAATGAGGATTAAAAGTCATGATCAACAAGAATTTGCTGAATGCAGCAGGCTGTGCTTCTCTCCTCACACTCAGCTCAAGGCAGTGTCCTTGGACTTAACTGACCTGTGGACGATGCACTGGCTCTGCAGGTAGTCCAGGGCCATGGCGAGCTCGCAGATGAAGAGCTTCACAGTGCCTTCCTGGAAGCGGACATTCTGCTGCAGGTGATAGCGCAGGTCTCCACCCAGCAAAAGGTCCACCACCATGAACATGTCTTCCTCATCTTGGAAGGAGTACCTGGAACAGCATGAGAAGATAAAACCTAGCAAATATATGTGTATGTTGAAGAGCCCCAGAGGCAAATGGAACCCCACAGTTCAGAGCCGTGTTCTTGAGCGAAGAGCTCCAGCTCTAGGAAGCAGGTGGTCTGTCACTAGCTCATGACCTTAAGTCCTCAGTTTCCTCATGTGTAAAATGGGAATAATAACAATATCTATCACATTTGGTCATACTGAAGAACAAATAATACTTACTGTCATGCTTGACATATGGTAAACACTTATTAGCATAGTTATAAAGGCCAGGAAATAAAGAAAACCTCATTTTTCCATTTATCTAATGACCCAACAATCATATCCTAATCATACTGGGACAGGAGGGCCATAAAACATGATTACGAGAACTCCTTAAACTAGTCCCATGCCTGTTTTCCCACACTAACAGCTTCATTGCCCAGCAACATTATAACACAACATGCTCCACACCGATGATAAGAAAGATATTTAAAAGGCAAGAACGCAGCAAGCACACAGTACACAGAAGTCACTCAGCCTTTTGGGAACATAGGGGAAGCCAGAGTTAAATAATAACACTAACCAAAAGGCAAAGCTAACCTCTCCTGCCTCTCCTCTTAAGGGACTTTGATGACTGCCACCACCTCAGTCCTTCCATGACCCCATTTACAGAAGAGGATATACACTTGACAGACAGTAGAGCCAAAGGCTTCCCAGGTATAGAAGTGAAACTTGAGGAATAGCAGAGGAAAGTGGCAATTATACAAGCACAGACAAGGGAAAGCAGTTTGGATTTGCTGGAACAACAGGTATGTGGAAAGCCTGGGTCTATAGAAGAGGGCAGAGGCCAGATAACAGGACAGGAAGGAGCTTGCTCGTGAGTCCTCGAGAGCTGGGAGTCACTGCAGGATTGTGAATAGGACCCTGGAAGGGCATGGGCCGAAGGATTGGACACATGTGAGACGCAGGGAAAACTGGCCCCCTCTGTGTGTAGAGCCTTCTGTGAAAACCTATCCCTGTTGCTGGGATCTGCTCTGCGTCAGGCTTCCTAGTCACAATCCAGTTCTCTGTCTCCATACTGTGTCAACAGAATGCTTTCCACATAATGTCACGGAGATCACATTTTAAAGTTTTATTTGAATCAAAGAACGGTAAGCTCACAAGCAGAGTCCAGGCATACATAGCAGTTCTTTGCTGAGGAAATACACATAGAATATCAGTGATGGCAGAACTGCACTCAGCACATTTCCTTCTTTATGATTATCGTTCTGCTAAAGGAGAATTTAGGGACTTACGAATGGAAGAAAGAAATTCAACAAAGCATCAATCTGAGGCGGCAACATGCTAATGAAGACTAAAGGACCCTGATCGCTTGATAAGTCAAATTTTGTTTATCTCTGTAGATGGATTCACACAGAAGACGTCAGTAACTCAGCTCTTGGGGGAGTTTCAACCGTAGAACGAGAAGTGCTTTCTAACAGCCTGAGAAATGCACACTTGGTTCCTTCTTTTAGGAAATGCCGTTCCTTGCCTTGGACGCAAGGACGGGCTGGTCATCTTGGCAGTACATTTAAGGGGCACTGGGAAAGGTCTCTGGGTCTAGGCAATGTGTACCTAATCCTTCTAGGCACACTGACAACAAGTGACTGCCACTGTGTCACACAGGCTTCTCAGGAAGCAGCACTGGGCTGGTTAACACGTAGTGACGTTAAGGTGTGGCTTGGGACCTGCTGCATCTGCTGCTGCTCTCTGCTGCCATAGCAGGAAGAATGATTGCCCATGGGGTGTGAATAAGACCCTTTGGGATGGGTGGCGAATGGGATGTGGACGGTGAGGTGTATGAGGGTTGGATGCCCAAAATAGAAAGAAAAGAGTGCCTGCCATAGACATTGCTTGAACCAGTGGAAACAACCTACTCAGACTGGATTATCACATGGGAGGACTAGATTCACTCCCTGCTGTTAACTACGTTGTTCTACTAGGTGATGTCGGAAACCTGGTGTCAGACCAGAGCACTCTTCTCCTATTATTAACTCCAAGGGGCCCTGTGGTTTTATTAAATTCAGCTGGAATGAACAAGCATCTTTACTGGGACTGGGTTAAGCTCTTTATATTCAAAGAACAAACTGATAAAGGTGCCAGTCATGGCAAGTTAGCGATAGTGTTCGAAAGTGCAGGGGGTTACTAATCAAAGAAGGAAGAGGCTGAGGCAAGAGGCCACATGCCTCCCTTGGCCCACATAAACACACATTTATTTAATCATGAAGGCAGGCTTGGCTGTTAAAAATTATCTTTCTCCCACAGCATGTCAGATCGGAAGTCCTCCACCTCAGATTCCTACTTCTCAGAGGGAGAAAAGACAAATAGTTTATTTCCAGAACTATACCCTGTAAAATATGTGGACGTAACACAATTGAGTGGTATCTAGAATATTTACATTCATAGCATAATCTGATTTTTTAAAATAAAAGAACAAAAGTTTCCGTGTACCTCAACCATTTATCACATAGATCTTTGCATTTCTGTAACTTTTTTTTATTTGGTATATGACATCATCATGGCCCATTTGTTTTTAGTTGACAGCTCTAAAATTAACAAGTCTGGGTCCAGTGCACTTGAAATTTATCGCAAAGTGTGCTGAGCAAGAAAGAAGATAACTAACAAAAGATCACCACTTATTCCACCCTACTTCATCATGCCTGACCCAGACCACTGCAATAGGCTTTTCATAGCTCTTTCTGTATCATCTTAGACCTCTCCAATTCATTCTCCACATTGCAGCTATATTTTTTAAATGTGGGTTTTATCATGTTATCCAGACTCAAAAAAGACTTCACTTCTTTCCATGGTCTGCAGGAACCTGTTGGTCTGGCCCTGATATATTTTCTAAATGTGAGTTTTATCATGTTATCCAGACTCAAAAAAAGCCTTCACTTTTTTCCATGGTCTGCAGGAACCTATGGGTCTGGCCCTGTTTATTCATCCAGCTTTACCTTAAAGAGCTTTTCCCTCCATTCCCTACCCAGCAGTTCACTCCCAGCCAGCCTCAGAAGCTTACAATGTGGGGTAACCTACACCTACATTCATGATGCTGCCCAGTGTCTGGTTATACACTTGTCATCTTTCTGGTCTCACTCAAGTGTCACTTCTCACAGAAGACTTTCCTAGCACACCATATTATTTCTGCTCCCCTTGTTATATAGGTAATGCCATATTCTCATTCACAGAATTTATCGTAATTTGGAAATACTTTCCTAAATGCTTTTGGATGAACTCCTCTCGTTCCCAAACAGGAAGCATACTTGCTTTCCTCACCACTGGTGCCTCAACACCTGTGTGCTGCCTGATATGTAGACTGTACAAATAGTGAGAGAAAAAAACTAACAGAGTAACAAATGACCTAAGGAAAGGAAGGAGAGAAGCAAGACTAAAACACAAGCTTTGGGTGGGTCTGGCATAAACGTCGTCCTCAGTTCTATTTTTAGAAATCAGCATGGTCAGGCCATTCACATGCTGTCTCATAGACACCATCTTGAAATGAATCTGACTGAGGGTGGGAAGAGTCTGAAATACTCTCCAATGTAACGTTTTTCAAACTGTGAGTCAAAATCCATTAAGAGGTTGTGAAATCAATTTGGTTGGTTGTGACAGCATTTTTACAAAGAAATAAAATAGATTGAATAGCATTGGATAAGTGCTATTAACATGTAAGGCTAAATGTTATTAGAAAACTTAGTTTTATGAATATGTTGTGTCTCTGTGAGTATATCTACTAAGTTGTGATGAAAAATATAGTTTTTTATTATGGGTTGCAGTCAAAAAAGCTTGAAACCCTTGACAGTAGAGGAACCTACTTCCGATTTCAAAACCATTGCCACAAATCCCACTCAGACTCTGCCTGGGCAAGGGTCAGTTCTGATATTCCCACAGGGCAAAGCAAGGGAATGTTGCCCTGGGAACCAAAACGACAGAGCAGTTCATTTGTGATTTTCAGACTCTGGACAGGGAGTGCTCACAGCAGGCTTTTCACAGCTCAGGAGAAGCATTAGTTTTTGTGAGAAGAGATCCCTGGGGAACAGGCAAGGAGGAGGGTAGGGTACACTGTCCCTTCAGTAAAGTACAAATTTCAACTTTAAAACTTTCTTTAAAGAAGTAGTTCATCATATTTCTCTTCTCGTGGCTTTGAAATGATTTTTCAAGGTGTGTCTAGCGTGAAGCTCATTTAAAAAACTAATTCACCTAATTAATTCATCATGACAACACAAAAAAGCCCAAGGTTTGCAAGAGTCAGATTCCAATCATCTATAAAAACAATACGGTTATGGTATTTTGTTTTTGTTTTCTTTTAACTGAAATACCACAATAGGACAAACTGAAGTAAAAGAAAGTTTAACGGTTTGGATAACACTGGAACCAAGTTGGGACAACAATCTAAATTTCTCTGCTCTAAGTATAGAGGAAGACAACTTATAATCTAAGCAAGTATGTCATGACTACTTCTCACTAACTTGTCGGAATGAGAACACACCCATCAAGTTTTAAAGAGAGCCCCTGTTGGCAAGGGTGTGGAGAAATGGGCACTCTCACATGCTCTGGACGGGGGGTGATTTGGCAAAACCTCTTTTGAGAACAATTTGGAAACAGTCTATAAAAAAGCACATGGCTCTGACCCTGTCGTTTCATTTGCAAGAGACTTTCACTATGGACATGCTTGTAAAAGCATGATGTACTTGCAAGGATACTCATTACATCATATAAAATTAAAAACAATGTATATGTCCATCACAGGGGAGCATGCAAACAAATTATGGTAAATTCACGCTCAGATTATTCAGCATTTTTTACTTAAATGAGGAGATCTATATTCTTTTTTTCTTTGTATTTCAATGGCTACAAAAGGCAAATCCATATTCTGATATGAAAAGATTTCTAAGATACTGTATTATGTAGACAAAGGGGAAAAAGTACAATGTCTGCCCTGTAGACACAGTATAGTACATAGAT